CAGTGGGGTCCCTCAGGGCTCGGTCCTTGGACCGATACTCTTTAATGTCTTCATCAGTGACTTGGACGAGGGAGTGAAATGTACTCTGTCCAAGTTTGCAGATGACACAAAGCTATGGGGAGAAGTGGACACGCCGGAGGGCAGGGAACAGCTGCAAGCAGATCTGGACAGGTTGGACAAGTGGGCAGAAAACAACAGAATGCAGTTCAACAAGGAGAAATGCAAAGTGCTGCACCTAGGGAGGAAAAATGTCCAGCACACCTACAGCCTAGGGAATGACCTGCTGGGTGGCACGGAAGTGGAAAGGGATCTTGGAGTCCTAGTGGACTCCAAGATGAACATGAGTCGGCAGTGTGACGAAGCCATCAAAAAAGTTAATGGCACTTTATCGTGCATCAGCAGATGCATGACGAATAGGTCCAAGGAGGTGATACTTCCCCTCTATCGGGCGCTGGTCAGACCGCAGTTGGAGTACTGCGTGCAATTCTGGGCGCCACACTTCAAGAGGCGGCAGTGTGACGAAGCCATCAGAAAAGCTAATGGCACTTTATCGTGCATCAGCAGATGCATGACGAATAGGTCCAAGGAGGTGATACTTCCCCTCTATCGGGCACTGGTCAGACTGCAGTTGGAGTACTGCGTGCAATTCTGGGCGCCTCACTTCAAGAGGGATGCGGATAACCTGGAGAGGGTCCAGAGAAGGGCCACTCGTATGGTTAAGGGCCTGCAGACCAAGCCTTACGAGGAGAGACTAGAGAAACTGGATCTATTCAGCCTCCGCAAGAGAAGGTTGAGAGGCGACCTTGTGGCTGCCTATAAGTTCATCACGGGGGCACAGAAGGGAATTGGTGAGGTTTTATTCACCAAGGCGCCCCCGGGGGTTACAAGAAATAATGGCCACAAGCTAGCAGAGAGCAGATTTAGATTGGACATTAGGAAGAACTTCTTCACAGTTAGAGTGGCCAGGGTCTGGAACGGGCTCCCAAGGGAGGTGGTGCTCTCCCCTACCCTGGGGGTGGGGTGGAGATCAGGACCCACCTGGATTTCCACATGGCTGCGAGGCAGCTGCCCAGCAGCTCTCCCTGTCCCATGGAGATTGGGATGAGTCCCAATCTCCACATGACTAGGAGGCAGTGTCCTGCCAGGCCAAGATAGCTCTCTCAGCCCCCTGTGGTCCCCCTGTTGCTTAGGCTAACTGGGAGCAATTTGCTCCCAGTCAGTGTCTACATGTGTAGCCTAGTGCATTAGTTAATATGCCATTTTCTAGTACCTGTATTTACAAGTACTAGAAAATGGCGCATTATTCTAATATACTGTGCAGTAATTGCTATGCATATGTAGACTGATTTACTGCACGTTAGATTAGTCTAATACTCGGTATAGCATCTTGTTTAGATGCATCCTGTCTCCTCATCCTGCTGTGACCAAGGAGATGCAGTCATAGCTTCAACTTCTGGAGATAGTGAAGAATGGGCCAATGTACAGGTATTCCCCTCCAAAATTCCGTCAAATTACAACCCCCTATCTGTCCTCTGCACTGCAAACATATAACGGCTGTGATTTGGCATTAGCTCATTTACTCTCTCCTCATAAACCAGACACACCCAGTTATGAGTTAACATTTACTGATTTTTTTCTGTCCATTTCTCCTTTTTATATTGAGATGCCCAGAACAAAATGTCTGACTAGTATTTAAGAGAAGTCTCATCAAATGATTTTTAAAAGGTATTTTACCTTACCATTCTGTGATTTGATGCCATTATATAAAACCAACAAGAATCACATTCACCCAGGTAGTCACAGGTAGATCTATGCACAATGGGAAATTTCCCTTTTTACAAAGAACACAGAGATACAACCATGACTCTCATACCATACATACCCTTATAGGAGCTCACCAGCATCTTCCCCATCATGTCAAGATCTCTACAGGGCAAGGGGTAGAGAGTGCACAGACTACATAGGCAAGGAGGGCACATCATACAGGCATTAGCTCCTTGGACCTTATGCAGAGCAAGCAGTTACTTATAAAATTTTATTGTTGTTTCTACTGCTTAGAGATATAGTGAGGTTCAGGACTCCATTGTGCTAGACAGAGAATAAAGGCAGGAAAGTATGGTTTCAACACAAAAAAGATTAAAATCTAATTTAAGACGAGAAGTAACTTGCGAGTGAGGAAAAGATAGGAGTGAAGGCAGAGAGATGAGAAGGCTATGAGTATGTCAATAAGGCAGTTATATAGGCTAATTGTGTGCCTTGACCTATGGTTTTAAAACCTTCTAAAAGATTTTGTTTTGTTTTTGTGCCCTTCCATTAGCCAGACTACTTATCAAGAGCTGTTTCGTTGTTTTGTTTTATACACTATAACTATATTACCTGTTGTACAGCATTGCACTGCATATCACTTTTTCTATAGCTCACCTCCAGGCATTGAAAGTCCCTATGAAGGGTATTCCCAAAATTGGCCCAGTCAGGGTTAAATCTTCAAAGGGCTAAATCTTCAAATCTCTTTGATTTGGCTCCATTGTTTCTCTTGTTGACTAAGCAGCAAAGAACCTACACACTCCCTAATGTGACACAGACCAGGTAGAAAGATTGGAACAAGAGAAGAACTGAAAAAAAATATCACCCCACCAACTCAGTTGGGTGCTGAAAGCAGACACTGAGGTAGCGTGAAGCTGAAGTGCTCTGCCAGGTAAATGCTTTGTGTAGGTATGCATTAGAGTCTGTTGTCTTTTCTCTGAAAACAACTTGAGATTTCTTTTCTGAACTGGAGACTGTGTTTCAGAAATGGAAACAATTCTTCACTTGGGTGCCTCATAATCATACAATGGGCTGCAAATGAGCTTTGGCAGCAATTTGACATGAAGTTGATAGAATTTTTCTGTGCTGGTGACTTTACAGAATGCTGGAATTGCTCATTCTGAGATGTAATTTGGTTTTATGACCTATGCATGACAACATGAAAGGGTTTGGGGTTTTTTTCTTTTATCAAAAAATCTTTAGGATGCTTTGGTTTCTGTGTTAGAGCATAGGCTGATTTAAGTTGTAATTTTTACTGAAGTTTTATCTAAATGTTTACAGAATCTGCTCAAAAAGGAGCCATAAAACATCAAATAGGAAAACCAGTAAATTCAGTAACTCATTGGGCTTAGATTTATCAACGTGCATAGATAGCAACAAAGAAGTGTTTCCTTTTCTCTTATGCTGAAGGTATTTGAATATTGTGTCAGACAATATTGTCTGAGAAGGCAAAATTATTAAAGGAATGGTTCATTTAAATGAAGAAGTTGTTTGATTCATTCTCAGATAAATGAGATAAATAGCATAGCAATTTTGAGAGTCACTTTACTGACATCAACATGTCACTTGTGTGTTGTATGGTCACTTTACATTAAAATGCCTGTCGATCAGCTGATGATACCCATGTCTTTATCTCAGAGGGCACTTGTACACATGACACCATTGCCATGTGCCATGTACATGTGACAAAAGTGCCACTTCACGTGCAAGAGCTTTGAGGGTTTAATGAGTTTGCATCACTGCAAACTAAACTACGCTCCGATGTAGTTTAGTTTGCAACGTTGCAAATTGCAATGATGCAGCTGTCAACTTGCTCCCCGCGACAGGAGAGGCAGGCAGGCTCCTCAGAAACAAAAAAGGATTGGGCCCCTTGCTATTTCTTCCTTCAGTAAGCTCTTGGGGCTGGCAAGACACTGGGGGCCTCCTGGGAATGGGCTGGCTTGCCCCTGGACCAGTGTGAGAAGGCTGCAGGAGGGTGGCTGGATTTGTTGATAGCTGAAGAAGGTGGCGAAGACGATACAAAGGGCACTGGAAGCCTGGGCAGGCTGCTAGCTGGCTGGGTGCTGCCCCTATTTAGAGGCATCCAATCCAATGCTTCCCCAAGCCTGCCTGGGCTTCCACCACCCCATTCACCATCCCTGCCACCTTCTCCTGCCACCAGCAAACCCAGCTGCCCTCCTGCCACCTCCCTGCACTGTCCCAAAGGCAAGCCAGCCTGTTCGAGGCGAACTGGATGTCCTGCCATCTGCAGGCACCTGCTGAAGGCAGCAGCTATGAGGGGCCTTTTTTTTTCCAGCAGAGCCTGCCTGCCTCTCCTGCAGCCAGGGAGTAAGCTGCCAGCAGACCAAGCAGCTCCTGAGCTGCAGGGAGCCCCAGCCCTTGCCTCCACAGTAGGGGTGCCCCCAGGGCCACCCAGGCAGGCTGTTAGTGGGCTGGGTGCTGCCCCAGCTCAGGGTCAGGAAAGAGTTGGATCAGGCCAGGTGCAGCCTCCAAGCTGGGGCAGCACCTGGCCTGCTAGTAGCCCACTTGGGTGGCCCCCAGGGGGCACTGTCACTGCAGAGGACCGGGACCACCTGCAGCTCAGACGCTGCTCGGCCCACTGGCAACTTGCCCCCTTACCGCGGGCAGGCTTCAGCTCCAACAACAACAAAAAAAGATAGGGCCCTCACCATAACGTGACAAAATTGAAATGGTTTAATTTCAATTTAGGGGGGGCATAGAATAAAATCCTAAGGACTAAATCCTAAGGACTAAATCACATGTACAAGCGCCCATCTGTCTCTCTCAATTGGCCCAGCTAGTACAATTTAAGCCAGTGTCTGAGGAGAGAAAGCTAACTGTGGAAACCTCAGCCCTCAGAAGACTGAGGTAAAAAAGACCATTCCACTATAACAGCATGACCCTCACATCCTTGTTTCTGTCTGTGCTTCCTGTGAGTCCTAGTGAACTCCTTGTCCCATGGATGATGGTCTGTGTATGCTCCCACCAGTGGCTGGACAGGGCAATGGCAGCAAAACTCTTCCCAATACTGAAAAATTACCAGTTGAGTCCCCACTTCCCAATTGCCCACCCATATCTGATTGGCATTCCAGCAAATGGGAACAGATGTAGAGTTGGCACTGCTCAGGGCATTGGGAAGCTATGATGTATTTTGTATGACTTTGTGCTTGTAGGTTAATCTTAAATATTATTAACAGGTCCCTGTGGGAAGGAAATGGAGAAGAAGATGCTGAAGACTGGGTATTTTATCCTCTTGCTCAGTTGTTTTGCTTTGCAGCTGGATGCTAACCCTGGGCTCAAAGTAAGAATCACGCAGAAAGGGCTGGACTATGGTAAGCCTGAGATTTCCAATAGTTCTTCTGCAACACATTTTATTATTAGAGTACATTAATATTTGCACAAGGTAAGAACAAAGTCCTGAAAGATTGAGAGTTACTAGCAAGCTTAAGAGAGGAAGGAAGATTTAAAAGATGTATTTTTAAGAGAGGAAATGACTTGGAGGTAGACAAGAGCTGCTGCAATAGATGAAAAACTTGAAAATCTAAGGAGTCACATAGCAAAGAAGAAAGAACTGCTGCTGAAGCACAGTGAGTGGGTAGAAGAGTACTTGGATATGGAGCCAGGAAGGTAGAATGTTGTGAGGCTGGATGTCAGAACAGTTTGGTGTCCAGGAATGGTATTGATAGGAAGCCAGGAAAATTAGTGCCATACTATGGGTACTATGGGCAGTATGATTGGGGTAACATGGTCCTGGTTCATATAGCAAGGGAGTAATCTGGTCAATGTGTTGGACCTTTGAAGTTAGGTAGCAGGCCATAAATAGAGATGCTTCATTAGTCAAAATGAAATATGATCAGTGTCTGCAGATCACCTACACCTGAACCAGTGAGAGAAGAGGGGGTTACATATGTGACCTGCCTATTGCTCCCAGCCAGACTCAGGCAGCAGCTGCCTCAGGGCATCAGTTTCAGTAGTTCTCATCCCCTAGACTCACAGTTATTCCTGCTTCACCACTCTATCATCTACTAGAGCTAAGAGCCAGCCAAGGATCTGGCCTTCAGAACCACCTCAAGACATCATTTAGGAATCAGCATCCAAGCATCAGAGAGCAAGCAAAAACCGCATCAGAGAGCAAGCAGAAACCAAGTGAAAGAAATTGTTCCTCCAACCCCCTACCACAGTTTCCATTGTGTCCCAACCTGCTGCTCAAATAGCGTTTTCTGTATCCTGTAGATCCTCTTCCACTAGACTGATCTGATCCAGCAGGAGCTCCTAGTATCTTCAACCCTCCCAGAAGCAAACACGGCCATATCACAACACCCTGTTTAGATTCGGAGTCCTCTCCCTTCCCTACTAACAAGTATAGCTTATTCTACTCCCAGCTTCTCCCACCAAATTCCCAGCCACAGTAGCCTGATCTCTCACATCTGCCAATAAGGAACGTCCCCTTTTTATCTCTCTCTGTGTCCATCCTTTCACCATTCAAGCTCTTAAAGCACCACCATTTTCATCTCTCTCCTACATCTTTTCTCTCCTCATTTTCAATACCCATTCTTATTACTTCTGTAACAAATCCCTTTCCTCTTCCCCTGTCTCCCTTTGTCTCACTAATTCTTCCTCTCCCAAACCTGATACCCATTAAGTATAATTTTGTTTAATAATGAAAAAACAGCAACATCCAGTGCATGAGATATCGAACCCTCTCACCTTGTATCTTTCTCCTTTCTCTCCCTTTCTTGATAATTCCGTCTTTTATCTAAGCCTTAGATCTTAAAGTATTTGGGCCAGTAAAGAAATAATAATATGTATCTGGACAGCACCTAGCACAATTTTGTGTGTTTAATGCATTAATAATTCCTTGATTCAACAGAAGCCGGGTCAAAGTAAGGATAAATCATCAGCAATGTTCTGTGCATGATGACAGGTAGACAATGGACACGAAAAGTAAAAGCTCAGCTTTATGAGTCTAAGATTACAGTGTTACTATAACAAAGTTTTTTGCTAAAGGTGAAGGTCAGGTCCACTTACTTCCCAAGCTGAACATTAGTTGCAAATGCTTCTATGGGGAACTAAAGACCTTCAGTCACCCAAACCAGAAGTAATCTTTCCCTTCCAAATCAGAAATAATCATTCCATAAGAGAGACAGTGCCTTAGAGCTCCCTTACACCTGCTATAGTAGGTGGATATCAGGATTAAGCCCAGTATTTGCCGGTATGAGTCAGGAAGAGCTGTTCTAGAGCTTCCAAGAACTGCTAGGTGCTGTCAGGATTAATGGGTAGAAAATTGGACAAGCACTAACACAGACATTAGTAATGCCCTGCCAATCCAGATAGCATCTGATAGCTGAGGAAGGTGCAGCCTGTTATGTCTTTTCTACCACGGCAGAATTTTGAAGGTTAGGGTATTTAATCCTGACATCCCTCTAGTCTAGTTTGGGGCTGAATTATGACAATCTGGGGCCCTAAACTAGGGCTTCCCAACCTTTCTATGCTTTGGCCTGGCAAACTGCGGACTGGAAGTTGCCATGGCCCGGCAAACTGCACACCACTGTGTGGAGCCCTGTGGCCAGAATTTTTGCCTGGAACAAAAGTAAAGATGCTTCTACCCCTGGGCAGTGAGGTGGGCCTAATCCTCAACTATGACTGCCGCAAGCCCTGCAGGAGGAGTCGCGGCCTCTGTCTGGCTCTGCAGGGCCACCTTTTGCCAGTCTGCAGTCACTTCCAGTCCAGCAGACAACCCTTTGTGACCCAGGGGTTGGTTTAGAGGCCCCTCATAATATGAGGCCCTAAAATGAAGATTACTTAGCTTATGCCTAAATCCGGCACGGCTCTAGCTGCCAGAAGACCGCAGCAAGGCACCCTCATGCTCACAGGAACAACCACTGGGGTGCCTTTACCATGAGGAAACCCTGAATTCTGACAGCCTTCTCACCACAAAAAATGTAAATTAAAAAAAATAGTGTTCATGTTGGGCAGTAATTAATCCTGAATCTTTGTTCATGTTTATGTGGATCAAGAGGAAATTTGGGGGAAATCCCCTTCAGCAGCCTTGGAAGCAAAGTTAAAATGGAAGTAGTCTCAGAAATATGAGTGAGGGAAAAAGGAAGCTGAGCTGTCTCCAGGTTCTAAGAGCCAAGAGAAGCACAGAAAAAGAAGACAAACAAACTGGGGACTTGAAGATGTGGTGTTTAGCGACAGCTCAATGCATGTGATGCACAAGACTGAAACTATCATAACATTGGAACATGCCAGAGTGGGGATGCCATAGGTGTGTTAGAGGGGGAAGGGGAAGGGACAGAGAATTGCAGCATTTTATACCATATGTGTCATGGTCAAACCTAAGTCCTCTCCTAGAAATAAAAAAGGAGCAGTTAGACAAGCTGAAATAAAACCAGACGTGATTCCTAGTATAGAAGACAAATCAATTCCGACAAATTTGGTGTGAAAGATTTTCCTCAGACAGTTCCTCCAATAGAGGCTCCAGTGCCAAAAGGGTGGTACACTGTGAATTAGCTGGAGTCAATTCTAGAATACAAGACACAAATCCTTGGTCTTAGATACGTGCTTGCAATATAAAGGTACAAGATAAAAATTATGGAAATGACAGTGAGAGATAATCTGTCTATCTTGATGGCATGTTTGGAGATGGGGGCACCTGCATTTGATCTACATTGTATAAGCTTTCCAGCCATAGAGAAAGCAATTGAATGGTTCTTTGTCCCTTCACAGGCTGGAAAGTTGGGCTGGAGAACATAAAACAAGAAATACAAAATGAAACCTTCCAAAGCTGGAGTGACCGTGAGAACTTTGGACTTGTTAAATTTGACTACACTGTTTCAGGGTGAGTAAGCAATCAAAAATATTCTAAAGCAATGGTATAAATACTTTTAGTGATAAGGGAGGTCTTAATGGATTCATAAAGCCCTTACTTGCTGTTACTTTATTAGACCACTGGATTTTCAAAAGCACTCATAGATCATCTAACTGCTCCCATTGCCCAGTCATTGTCAAGTATTTTGTATATAACCTGCCAGAGATTAATTTAAAGAAAGGGTTTGAAGGAAGACTACATAGCAACTACTCAGATCTTTAGAAGATCTTCCCCTACCAAAAGGGCAACAAAAAAGTAAGCATATCTGTGTTTAAGGGAAAAATTGATATTATGAGCAATAAGGGTCAACAAAGGGCCTTAACAGAAAACACAGAGGGGGCAGTGATAGGTTAGAAGAGTGGGGAATGATATAGCTGGAGTGATGAGGTGGGAAAATTATTTTTGCAACAGTTTTTTGAATAAATATAGGGAGGGCAAAATATCATTACGACGTGACAAGGCTTTACATCCATTTTGCACAGGTATAAATCACTGTATGAGGGACTATGCAGTATAGAATCAGGCTCCTTAAGTTCCTACCATTCCCCCAAATGAAGCAAGCTGCTAAAAGAATATACATTTTTATAGCATTCCTTACCCTCGTCAGACTAAAAAATTCTAGTTAGGCTCTAATCCAGTGGTTCTCAACCATCTTAGACTGAAGGCACCCTTATATAACTTATCTGAATGTAGCAGCACCCTGTATCAAAAAATAAAACCAGAAAAATAATTGAGCAATTCTGTTGCAAAAGACTCAAAAAGATCACAATGGGTGAGAATGCTTTGACACAATCAATTCCTATTTAAAATCTATGGGTTTATTTTATTAACCATGTGTAGATGTTTGCACCTCTACTGGTGCTAATATTGCCATGACACCCTGGTTGAGATCACTGTTCTAATCCAACAGAAAAGCATACATTTCCCATCTGTCAGGACTGTTTCACCTTAATAAGTCAGTCCCTTGGCCAGTCATATGGGATTACTTCCTCACCTACAATAGTTCCTGACTTTCCATTATACAGTTCTCCAGAGCAAGAAACTTAAAGGAAATGGCTGGTGCCTTTTCCCACTATTTCCCAGTATCACTGGCAGGCTGAACCCTAAACACCCCAGTTCCACATTTTATGGACAATGAGCAAAGACTGCCCCATCCCTCAAGTGAGTGAGGTTTACCTGTAATGATGGGCTTCTTTCTATAGACTGGGAAAACTCACTTAAAGGGATGAGGCTTGTCTGTCTTCATAGAAAAGATACACACCCTAAGGATACAAAACATTGCAGAGACCTCTATTCCTAATGCAAAGTGTTCTACCTCACTGCTCAAATTTATTTTACTTAGGGGTTGAGTATAACATGGAGTTTAAAGGACCCTTTTCCTCAAGGGGTACCATTTACCTTCAGGTCAAGGGTACCTTTCCCCATGCAATTGGATAGTTTTACCATGAAATGCTACTACATTTTGTCTTGTAACTCAAAACCATTTTGTACTATTTAATTGTATCAGAAGACTTCAGAATCTCGTCTCTCGTTTGAGTGCAAACTAATATCCCTCTTTCATTTTATAGGCTCAGAATGAACACTGTTGAATTCCCAGATGCCTCTGTATCCCTCATACCTGGAACTGGGATTAAGCTGGCAATTGAACACGCTTCTGCAACCTTCCATGCAAACTGGAGTATAAAAACTTGGCTAGTGTAAGTATTGTACTATGTGAGCCCCAGTATACTCTTCTGGAAAGTGAATTAAAATAAAAAAATATAAAATGTACTTACTAATCTAATTTCTAAGGAGGTCAAATATCCTTTACCAAATAATAGCAACCTGTTGATACAGCTCTCTTGAGTGTGATACATTCATTTCAGGTTAACAGTAGAGTATTAATTAAGATGCTACTACCAAGGGTGCCTCTGGAAAGTATCAGATCAAAATTCTGTTATTAGGCTGGTATTTTCCAGACTGTTAATTAAGTGAATATTTAGGAAGCTGTTTAATACTTTGGATCACACTCTACAAAAAGGGGTTAATAATTACACGTGTGTTATATTGCATTTACTGTGTAACTGGAAAGGTTGACTCCATAACTAATTTACTTATAGTTAACTTTGGGTGCTCTTAGGACAAGTGCAGATTGCTGCACCTAGGGCACAAAAATATCCAGCACATCTACTGGCTGGGAAGTGACTCTCTCAGGAGCACAGAAGCGGAAAGGGATCTCAGAGTCATAGTGGACTCCAAGATGAACATGAGTCGTCAGTGTGACAAAATCATCAGCAAAGCTAACCACACTTTATCATGCATCGGCAGATGCATGACAAATAGATCCAAGGAGGTAATACTTTCCCTCTATGCTGCATTGATCAGACCGCAGTTGAAGTACTGCATCCAGTTTTGGGCGCCGTACTTCAAGAAGGATGTTGATAAACTCGAGAGGGTCCACAGGAGGAACACTCATATGGTTAGGGGCTTACAGGACAAGCCCTATGAGGAGAGACTGAGGGACCTGGACCTCTTCAGCCTCCACAAGAGAAGGCTAAGAGGTGATCTTGTGGACACCTACAAATTCATTAGGGGACACAGCAAGGGATTGGAGATGCTCTCTTCACCAGGGCACCTCTTGGGGTAACAAGGAACAATGGTCACAAACTGACAGAGAGCAGATTTAGGCTAGATATCAGGAAAAACTTCTTCATGGTAAGGGTGGCCAAAATTTGGAATGGGCTTCCAAGGAAGGTGGTGCTCTCCCCTACCTTGGGGGTCTTTAAAAGAAGGCTGGATAGGCATCTGGCTGGGGTCATCTGACCCCAGCACCCTTTCCTGCCTAGGCAGGGGGTCAGACTCGATGATCTGTTGAAGTCCCTTCTGACCCTAGCATCTATGGTTCTATTCTATCTATCTTCCCAGAAAACTGTATTAACAGAATATTAAGGTTACAAAGTTATGTATTCAAAAGGTAAGAAATATCAGAATTCAAGTTGCTTCTGAAATCTTACTTTGGGCTCCTTTTATGATATTGTCTTTAATGGCTCAATTGCATACTATTTTTCCATATTAAAATTAATTCTGCACTTAACATTGTAATATGTTTTTATGGAATGCTGTATGTATTAAAAATAGGTTATGGGGGTTTTTTTGATTTCTTACGTGGGGCCACATTTACTGTAACTTGGGATATGAGAGTATATATCCACAACACAGATCTCTATCACTTCAGCTAATGGAGTAACTGGTAGCAGTACTAGGCTATTATCCTCTAGATGAACTAGGCAGTAGAAGGGAATGGAGCACAGCTATTGCCAGCAGGGTTTCACCTCTGTTCCCTGACAGCAAAAGATCACAGGTACTCAGTTCCCCTGAGTTTAGCTCCAAGTCCTGGAGAGGAATGTACTCTAGGGGTTAACACTGCTGCCCCTTTGCCTCCAGCTTGTCTCTTTTCTCCATGCTCCACTCCAACTCACAGTTTTGAAGAAGAATATATTTATTCAAGTGGAACAGGTGATGACTGCTTTCTCTCCATGGGTAGTTAGAAGGGCTTTTTCTGAGGCAGTGCTACAGCTCTTGTGGCAGCATTGTCACAGATCTGAGAGTTGTAGGAGAATTGAACTGGCATTAATCAGAAAATTGTTATTCAAGTCACAATGAAATTGTGATGATTTGGAACCTGGCTAACTGCAGCATGATTCAAAAACTCATACTCTCTGAAGGTGAGAGGAAAAGACTCATTCTTCATCCACCCAATATAAGGATCAAAGCCTCTTAGTCTTGACTCATCATTACTTTCGTAAATGTTTCCTAAGAGTAGATTTTTCAGCTGAGCTTATTGTTTTGTCTATGTAGCAGAAACCATGGAGGAGCTACTGTGTCTCTTTCAGGAGTGTTTATCACAGTGATCTTCCAAGTGTCAAGGGATAACAAAGGCCGCCTATCCATGCTGTTTCACAACTGCCGGCTAAGCATTCATGATGTTAAAGTCAAGTTGAGTGGAGGAGCCAGGTAGGTGCGAGAGATCTCTTATTGTCACTCTGGTGAAAAGTAGACAAGTCAGGCTATATCTAAATACTAAACTTACCCTCCTCATCACTGCATTGCACTGCTCTGGGTACATGGTTTCCTAAATCTGAAGCAGTGCAGCCACCTCCATGCAGAATTTGGGGCAATTTGGTAAGTCACAAGGCCAATTAGCCTGCCTCCAGCTAATAGCCCTCCCAAAGGACCACATAGCTCAGCTACATTGCTTTGAATTTAGGAAGGAACTCTGTCCAGAGTAGCTCAGCGTGCTCAAGAGCAACACCTCTGGGGACAAAAAATTGTCTGTATAGACATTACCTCAGAGGCACATGTCCCCCTTGTCAAAGTTAGAATGAGCATTTCCTATGGCTACTTTAATATCAGCATTCACTGAGTTTCAAATAGCCTCTAATTCTCAACCTAAATATGAGCCAGTCCTCATCTAGCCAGAAAGAATTGATTGTATAGCCTTTTTCTGTCATCATAGCCATTTCTTACTTCTGCCTCATTTATACTTTGCCTACATCTCTTCCTGAGGGCTCCTTCCTCAAGGCCACCTGGTCTTTCTCTACTCTTGCTAAACTCAAGATTGAGGCAGTAAAGCCACACTGGAAGTACCTGTGCCATTGCTCTTGAGATTTCTGCCTTTGGTGTGCTTAAAAGCATGATCTCAGGATTGGAGTATGCAGAGTGGGAGATGGACAGGATATGCATGAGAGTTTGGCCTCTAGGAGCACTGGAGTAACAGTGTAGACATACCCCATGTCTATATGGCATTGTAGTGACCTTCATTTGTGAGGTGGACTCTTGGCAGTTTTTAGGCTTCATGCAAGTATATTATATACTGGATTACTAGTCCAATACAAGTTATTGACTAGCCTGAAAGCCAGATATTACATTTTGTATAAACCTAGCTTATACACAGGTATATTAACTAAAGAAATTATTCAAATAGCTAAAACAATGGTAAGGCCCTCTTCTGTTCTTTTCCTCTTCTTCAGCTGGGTCTTTAACCTCTTTGCTGGTTATCTGAAGAAGCCCATTCAAGCCTACTTGGATAAAAATGTAAGTCTTTAAAGACTGTTTCAGGAGCGAGGTTTAAAGAACATCTGAAACTGCCTCATCTCTGAGGCCATGACCTGGAACAGGGATTGGCAACCTATGTTCTGTGGGCTATAGAGCTTATGGGCTTTGGCAGCATTGTGCTGTCAGGGGGCTTCACTCACACCACAGCTGGGTGGTAGGGAAAAGTGGCAATAGCAGCTGCCAGGTTGCAAGTGCCAGCTCACCTCAGATCTGATCTGGGTTGTTTTGTCCCACTAGAAAATGTTGCTGATCCCTGACTTAGAACTTAGCTAAGGCATATCTTGAAAAAAGACAGCTCCAGTCTGACTCTCACTTTAGTAACACTTATTACCCTGGCACTACCATCTACTCTTTTTTTCTCCTTGAAATAATATGGAAGTTCATATGCTCAGTTATTTTTCACCTGGAGGGTCTTCCCATTGAGCAACTGATTTTATAACAAATCTGTGATCACATACATAGAAGCCTTCATGTTTGTCTCTTAGACTTTATAGAAAAAGGCTGAAGGAGAGAACATAGGCCCTTTCATTCCAGAAAGAAAGTTCTCTATTACTTGTGCTACAAGGAAAATCACTTTTTGTAGTGACTGGTAAATGATATTATTAAATCTTTATTCTATACTCTTTCTGGGGCCAGTGTTAGAAAGTGGGATCAGAACAAATGCCTGAACAGGCTTGATTCAGCTAGAGAGAAGAGTTAAAATACGCACTACCCATTACATTACAGTGTCCTCTGTGTACTTCCATATAGTTGTGCCCGAAAATCAAACACAAAATCCAAAGGATGGATGCAGAGCTCAGAACTCTTAAGGGTGAGTCTCTGAAAATGAAATGTCTTTGTATTTCCATTTCCATGCCCTTCAGCATGTAGACTTTTGCATTAAATGTTGCCTGAGAACTGTATTTGACTGATTCTATTCAAAAGCTACTACATTAAAGACCCATGTCCCCAGCAGATAGAGTGAGGGGTAAAGAAATGCTCAAATGATTCTAGAACTAAGCCCCACTCTCCATTCCCTTTCATTCTCTCAGACACTCACAGACACAATTATTATGTTCATGTTTAGTTGATGTCAACAGCAGGACAGCTGTAATCTAACGACCCACTGCAACTGTGGTCTGTGGTGATAAGGGACACTAAGGCCACACCTAGCTGCTAAATTTACTGTTCAAGGCAGTAGTGCCCTCAAACATTCCACCCTGCTCTACATGGGCTGCCTCCTAACCCAGAAGCAGTGTAAGCACTACACTTCAGGTGAGCCAGTTATAACAGCTAAGTGACAACCTGCCCTAAGTTAGCCTTCATATGGCACTGCAGATATGGTCAAACTGCTCCTAGGTGGTAGTAGCCTAAACTCTATCCACCGTGGCACTACTTTATCCACTGTGGCAAACATGAGGTCAGCATTTCCAGAGGAACCTTGACTGCTCAGCATTTCAGCATCTGTAGTTATGCCTATTCTATCATATCCTAGCACCTGCCATGGAACCTGCACAGCATTGTTCCCCAGGTCCTGCTCTTCTGTGTGCATCTGCCAAGTTCTTACCAGCTGTCCTGTCTCACACATTTACTGGGACTCTTGGCCTTGCTCTCCAGGTTTGTGATCTGGCCATGATCATTAGGGCAGACTGCCCACATGGCAGTTTATAATGTGTTGCCTGAGCTGCTATCTAGTCTGCAGCTAAATAAAAAAGAGATCCTGACTACTGTAATCAACAAAAATCCCACATTATTTCTTGCAAGAGTAATCATGATAATCATAGTTTCATAGTTGGTAGGGTTGGAAGGGACCTGAGCAGATCATCAAGTCCGAACCCCTGCCATGGCAGGAAAGAGTACTGGGGTCAAACGACCACGGCAAGAGGTTTATCCAGCCTCCTATTAAAGACCCCCAGGGTAGGAGCCTACACCACTTCTCTTGGAAGTTGGTTCCAGATCCTAGCCGCCCTGACAGTGAAGTAGGGCCTCCTGATATCTAGCCTGAATCTACCCTCTGCCAGCTTGTGACGGTTATTTCTTGTCACTCTTGGGAGTGCTTGGGGGAACAGGGACTCTCCCAATGCCTGCTGGTCCCCTCTGACTACTTTGTAAACGGCCACTAGATCCCCCCTCAGCCTTCTCTTGTGGAGGCTGAACAGGGTCAGGTCCCTTAGCCTCTCCTCGTAGGGCCTGCCCTGCTGACCCCTGATCATGCGGGTGGCCCTCCTCTGGACCCTCTCCATGTTGTCCACATCCCTCCTGAAGTGCGGCGCCCAGAACTGGATGCAGTACTCCAACTGTGGCCTGACCAGTGTCGCATAGAGGGGGAGGATCACCTCCTTGAACCTGCTTGATATGCATCTGTGGATGCATGACAAGGTACAGTTGGCCTTCCTGTCCACTGTTGGCCCATGTTCATTTTGGCATCATTAATGACTCCAAGATCCTTTTCTGCCTCCGCACTGACAAGAAGGGAGTTCCCTAGCCTGTAGGTATGCTGCTGGTTCTTCTTTCCCAGGTGCAGTACCTTGTACTTGTCAGTGTTGAAACCCATCCTGTTCTCATCCGCCCACCCCTGTAACCTGTCTAGGTCCAAATGCAGCCTATTCCTCCCTTCTAGCGTGCCCACTTCTCCCCACATCTTAGTGTCGTCTGCAAATTTGAACAGGGTGCTTTTTAGCTCCCCATCCAAGTCGCTGATGAAGATGTTGAACAGTACAGGCCCGAGGACTGAGCCCTGCAGAACCCCACTGCCCACATCCCTCCAGGTCAAATAAGACCCGTCCACCACCACTCTCTGGGTGCGGCCCTCCAGCCAACTAGTGACCCATTTGACTGTGTAGGTATCGATGCCACAGTCTCCTAGTTTTTTAATGAGAATGAGGTGAGAGACAGTGTTGAAGGCCTTCCTAAAGTCCAGAAAGACTACATCCGCTGCTGCACCTGCATCTAAGGATTTTGTGACCTGGTCATAGAAGGCCACCAGGTTGGTCTGACAGGGCCTGCCTCTAATGAACCCATGTTGGGGTTGCCCCTAAGCATAATCTCCCCTGCTGGCCCCTCACGGACATGCGCCAGGATAATTCTCTCAAAAAGCTTACCCAGGATCGAGATAAGACTGACTGGCCTATAGCTTCCTGAGTCCTCCTTCCTCCCTTTTTTGAAAATGGGAACCACATTGGCCCTTTTCCAGTGGCATTTGAGTTGCATTCAAACACACACAGTTATATTCTGTCTACCTAAACTTCCTCCTGCAGTTCAAATAGGATATGATATTTTCCGTTCTCTTTCTAAATTGGTTCATGTGGCTGATCCCTGTCAAACAGCTGTCCCTTACACATGAGAGGTAGCAGCATTTTCAATCAATCTGGGATGTGATCTGGTATGTAATCCCCATTACATCATTTAGAGGTGATAATTTCCATTAAATTTAACTAGAAGGCAGGGCAGGGTGGCACCTTAGAGATTAACTGGTTAAATTTAAATGTTTTCTTCTAGACTGTTTAATTAAAAGGAAGCTCTGGAAAAAAATGTTATTATTTCATTTTTCTCCTGTGGGGAGGCAGAGCAAGCAATTCCTCTGTAGTTACATCCTTTCCCTTCAGGGGTGCCAGCCGGTCAATGGATGTGGTCAGTGGATGTGGATGCATCTGCTGTGGATGTATCTGCTGTCTAGCCCTTGCAGGTAGAGGATCTTCTGGAACTGCCTCTGGAGGACTGCTTTTTCAGCATCATTTTTTGCTTTGGTGACCATCTAGCAGCAAAACATTCTTTGCTGAAAAGCCATGGGCCGTGTGTAGACTAAACAAGGGGCATGTGTGCACAACACTTTAAAGCGGGTTAAATGCTTTTGTACTGCTTTAATGGTGTTGGTGTTTGCATGCATTGGTGGCGTATTGTGCACTAATTCCAGCTGCTGTAGCAAATTTGGTGGCGTAACATGCCTTACATGACTTGGGGTGCAGCAACCTACAACCCCTCTGAGGAGTTTTAGTTTGCTACCCTACAGCTGCAGAGCAAAGCACTGGGCTCCATGCACCTCAGGGGCTCTGCAGGAAGCCCATGTAAGCAGCCTGGCAGCAGCCTGGGAAGGCAGGCTCCACCCAAGAAAAAAAAATCTTTTTTTCTTTTCTTGGAGCCTGTCTGCCTGCCTAAACTGCACGGAGGCCCAGTGCTTCCCTCCATGTCTGTGGTGCCCCCTGGGACTGCCTGAGCCGGGTGCCTGAGGGTGGGTGCCGCCTGGGTGTCACTGCTGCGCAGGAAAGCACCAGCCCCAGCCCCCGCAGCCCAGGGACTGCTTCACCCACTGGTAGCTCACCCTCCCCTCCCCACCACCGAAGAGGCAGGTAAGTGGGTACGTGCACAACACGGGGGTTTAAAGGGCCCCAAATTGAAGCAGTGTTTTTAAAAACCCACCGTTTCAATTTAGGGCCCCTGTTTCATCTACACATGCCCATGAAGGAAGCAAGGACTCACCCTGAATGGGTGAGTACATAACCCAACTGTTATGGAAGCTAGCAACAGTTTGCAATGCATTAGCTAGCAGTGTCATAAAAATTGCTGGTTCCTATGCTTACTGCCTCAGAGCTTGTATCTCCCCCTATCAGCTTATTCAATCAGGGATTTGAAAACTCATGGCAATCAGAAGAGGTCCCATATGACTGGGAAAAGGCAAATATAGTGTTCATCTTTGAGAAAGGGAAGATGGAGGATCCAGGGAACTATAAACTGGTTAGACTTACCTCAGTCCCTTGAAAAATCATAGACCAGGTCTTCAAGGAATCCATTTCTCAGCATATGGAGGAGAAGAAGGTGATTAGGAACAGTCAGCATGGATTCACCATGGGCAAATCATTCCTGACCAACTTGATTGCTTTCTATGATGAGATGACTGGCTCTGTGGATGCAAGAAGAGTAGTGGATGTGGTATACCTTGACTTTAGCAAGGCTTTGATATGGTCTCCCACAACATTCTTGCAGGCAAGCTAAGGAAGTACGAGTTGATGAATGGACTGCAAGTTGGATAGAAAACTGGCTGGATCATCAGGCTCAAAGGGTAACACTCAATGGCTCAATGACTAGTTAGCAGCCGGTATCAAGTGAAATGCCCTAGGGGTTGGTCCTGGGGCAGGTTTTGTTCAATATCTTCATCAACAACCTGGAAAATGGAATGGAGTATACCCTCAGCAAGTTTGCAGATGACACCAATCTGAGGGAGTACTAGCTATGCTGGAGGGTAGGGCTAGGATTCAGAGAGACCTAGACAAATTAGAGGATTGGGCCAAAAGAAATCTCATGAGGTTCAACAAAGACAAGTATAAAGTCCTGCACTTAGGACAGAACAATCCCATGCACCAGTACAGGCTGGGGGCTGACTGGCAAAGCAGAAGCTTTGCAGAAAAGGACCTGGGGTTACAGTGGACAATAAGCTGAACAGGAGCCAACAGTGTGCCCTTGTTGTGAAAAAGGCTAACACTATACTGAGCTGCATTAAGAGTGTTGCCAGTAGATTGAGGGAAGTGATTCTTCCTCTCTATTTGGCACTGGTGAGGCCACATCTGGAGCACTCTGTCCAGTTTTGCCCCCCCAATACAGAAAGGATGTGGACAAATTGGAGAGAGTCCAGCAGAGGGCAATAAAAATGGTTCAGGAGCTGGGGCACATGATTTCTGAGGAGAGGCTGAGGGAACTGGGCGTATTTAGTCTGGAGAAGAGAACACTGAGGAAGGAGTTTAATAGCAGTCTTCAACTATCCAAGGGGTGGTTCTAAAGAGGATGGAGCTAGTCTGTTCTCAGTGGTGGCAGATGACAGAACAAGGAGCAACGGACTCAAGTTGCAGCCAGGAAAGTTTAGGTTAGATATTAGGAAACACTTTCTCATTAGAAGGATAGTAAAGCACTCAAACATGTTACCCAGAGAGGCTGTGGAATCTCCGTCCTTGGAAGTTTTTAAGAGCTGGCTAGAGAAAGCCTTGGCTGAGATGATCTAGTTGGGGATGGTCCTGCTTTGAGCAGGGGGTTGGACTAGATGATCTCCTGAGGTCCCTTTCAACCCTAATTTTCTATGATTCTATGATTTGGAAGTTGCTTCTCTCTAGATACTTGCCTCCTAATATTTTTTATAGCTGAGATACAGCTTGTTTTCTTCTTTCACACTTGGAACCTCTGTCTTTAGCATACTTGGGAGTAGCCAGAGCAGCTTCAGTGCCACATTTCCAGGTTTAGCACTCGTAAGTGGGAGTGTATGACCAGGGTGTACTATGGTGAGTGGGTGCCCTCAGCAGTGGCAATGATGTGGTGTAGAGACATACCTTCTCTTCACAATGTAGAGAAAAAGCTTCTCCTGTTGTGCTGTGGGACAAGGTGCAACATATGGAGTGAACAACATCCCAGTGGCTTCAGCACTGATTGACAGCTTCAGAAATGTTACTGCCTCCTTCCAGGTGTACAGTATCAGTAGCAGCAATAATTCTGCATAGCACTTATGGGCTATAAACCTGGATCAGAGCCCTACTGTGCTAGTCCTTGCACAAACACATCACAAAGAAAGACCTGAAGTTTTGAAACCCATTTAACTGATTTTAAACCAAATATGGTTTCCCACAGGAACAGGATTTGAGGGAAAGTCATTTGCTATATGCACACTGGGACAAGAGAAGAGCTGGGCCTGAATCACTGTTGGTCAGAACCATAGGGTGAGAAGGGACATTAAAGGTCATCTAGCCCAAATTCACTTGTTTCCTTACCCCGCTTCACTGAATCACTATTTCCTTTGTGCTTTTCTTCTCCAAGCCCTGCCTCCGTGTGGAAGTAAACATAACTGGCTATGATAAAACTTTTGTAATAATCACTGTGTTGTTTTGTTCATAACTTTACAGTTCTAAGTCAGATTGATGCCTTTGCCCAAATAGACTACTCGCTCATTAACTCACCAGCAATCTCCAAAACATACATTAACCTGGATTTGAAGGTAATTAGCCTCCAATGCTAATTCTCTGGATCTGTGTTCTTTCAAGACCCCTCTGACCCTCTTCTGTATCAGTAATGATGCTTATTATATATACTGACTTCCAAAAAAAGACCTTCATTTTTGTTTTGTTTTGCTTCCTAAATCTCAGGGAATATATATATATATTCCCCAAAGGGAAAGAAAAATTCAAGCTGCTAGAAGAAAACCTGAGTAAGCAAACAGTTTTGTGGCATACCCTGACAGTTAAGAAACAAAACAAAAATAAAGGTCTTTTTTTTTGGAAGCCAATATCTATATTTCTTTGCAGGGTACAGTCTATCCTGCTGGAAATCGCACAGATCCCCCCTTTGTACCAGACCCATTCACTCTTCCAGACAAGAATAACTCCATGCTCTACCTGGGAGTCTCCGAGTATTTCTTCAAATCTGCTTCATTGGCTTATTACAACGCAGGGGCTTTTAACATCACCATCACAAAAGAGGTTAGTGGAACTTGCTGGTGTGAGAATTACAAATGTTTCAGATATGCAAGTAATCAGTGAAAGGGATTTTATTGATCATTTCCCAGAGGAATTTGTACATGTCCATGGCTTGCTTCTACTAGATTTAAGTATCATTCACAATATTAATTCTACATTTGACTATTTCTCAGGCCAACTTCTGAGTTGCTTCTTGATACCATGCATAGTACAGAAATGGTAGATGTCACAGAACTAATTATGTGTTCTTTCACCTTAATGCAGAGGGTGGAAGAAAAAGCCATGGAAAGCTGTTCTCTGAACAGATTCCTTTGCTCTGACTACGTAAGGGAGTGAGGGAAAGATTTGGGAAGAAAATGTGTGGTTTTAGCCCATAGCTGCATTCGGGTATACTGAGCTCTACAAGAAACACTGTTGTTCTGCTTAGAACTGGAATAAATCATTAGAGAGCAATAAAGAGGGAATAGGAAGTAGGCATGGCAAGATAGTTTGGTCACCAGTGGGAGAAAAACTGGGAAGGCTAAAACTGAGAACACTGTTGCTTTGCTGGCAGTGCTAGAAAGGTCTTCTGAGTGGGCTTTGCGGAGTGAAATGGTGCTAAAAGGGGCCTTTGTAACCAGCTGTGCCTGTTGACTGAGCAAACCGTGTCACAAAGCAGAGCAGCAAAGGGTCAACAGGGTGTTCAGTTCTGTCTTCAGTGGGTTCGGTATTTTCCAGCTACAGGAGCCTACAAGACAAAATAGAAACAGAATTTAAAATCTGATTTATAAGCTGCACTTCTTTTTGTTTCTCCAGCATGTTTTTTTAATACATATTAATGACAATTGTGTCTAACTTTTTTGGCTAGGGACAGAAGTTATATATAAACTGGTTTAAGTGATTAGAAACTGGTTGTAACAGGAGCGCCTCTTTGGGGTACGTCTACTGGTGGCCCCGCCCACCTGTTATGGGCCAACCACTCACCTTCTTGCCTGCCATGCCTTGTTGTTAATTGATTAATAGATATAATTAAGTGGGAGGCTGCCCATTTCCTGCCCCGATGCCAGGGGGCGCTATCTGCGGCTCTGTTCCTCATCTACACCACAGCCCAAGCCTTGCAGTTGGTATCTGTAAATTCCTCTTTAAGTTGGGGTCTAGGCCACTGTGGGCCTACCCCTTTTCTCTCTAGCTAGGCCTGTCAGTCAAAAAAAAAACAACCCACTAATCAGGGTTTGACTCCAGGCTCTGGCTCTCAAAAAAAACCCCTCACTTGGGCTTCTGCCCCTCTCTGGCACTGGGGTCTACTCATCCCTGAATACTGCGTCCTCTCTGGCACTGGGGTCAGCTCACCCCCAAATATTGCACCCTCTCTGGCGCTGGGGTCAGCTCACCCCCGAATACTGTGCCCTCTCTGGCGCTGGGGTCCCCACACTGCTGTGGGCCCCCAATGAGGCCTCCTTCTTCCCCAAATAGCCTCACCCAAACCACCAGTGTTTATCATTAAGCAAGGGAGGCAACATGCCTGCTTACTTTAGATGATCGTGAGGATGGCTCCGGGCATGGTGTAGTCTTCTGACAGAGACTGCAGGCGCAGCACCGTAGTCATTGGGAGTCCGTCTCTCTGCTGCCCCTCTGTCCTTCTCCACTCACCATTTACAGGATCCTGACCTTCCTCTTCCTGTCACCTGACTGGCTGGCAGGGCTTGAGTCTTAATCCCTACTTGACCAGCCAGCCGTGACTGGAAGGTACTGGACTTAAAGGGGCCACCCTGTCTCTTAGTAACAAGGTTAGGGTTCCCTGTTACACTGGTTTAAACCTGTAACAAAACAGATGTTCAGTGCACATAAACCAGTCTGAAGATGGCTGAAACCAGTTTGAAATAAACCTGGTTGAACGCAGTATCAGATTTAACTGATTTGGCTCAAACTGGTTTATGCAATGTCTGTCCCAGACCCCTTGCTGGTTAAAGTTAAATCAGACTCCCCCAGCATCTCATCTGGGCTGAGTGGGGCTCTCTGCTCCACAGCAGGACTGGCCTCTCCCCTCTGCTCCCTGGCTGGAGCTTGGCAGAGACTGTAGGCATCTGCCTGGCTCCCCCCTTCCCTCCCCATCCCATCTACCTTACACAGACATCTCTCAGCATTAGCTAGCATACCACTTGCTGGCTATGGTCCATGCTGTAGCAGACAGGACAAAGGCAGAATCAGCAGGTAGCTGGTAATATCCCTCTGTTGTTTTCTTAATGGAGTGATAAACACTGAGTTAGGGGTAATAAACATCGTGTTATCAATTCCCTGCTGGGCTGGTCATGGAGGGGTGGGGATCTCCCTAATTAGAGCATCCTGCCAGGGCCTGGCCACACCCCCCTCAGCTCAGCAGTGCGGAAGGGAAGGGAAGGCTGCTCTACGGCTTCTAGCCTAAGCCACAGCAGGTATGTGCCTGCATGTCTGGGATGTCTGTGCAGTTACAAACTGATTTAACGTAGCCAGGTTAGACTACCCTGCAAAGATTGAATCAATTCAGGCTCAGGCTTTTTGAATGTCTGTCCCTAACCTTTGTCATGATGTATTATAACTTCCTTTAAGACTACTTCCAGAAGGAAAGGCCATTAAATCAAGAATGGGGATTAAATGAAATGACAATAAACAGAGTGTATTTCTTTAAAGAGAATCTGAACGTGAATATGAAGCAAGATGATCTGATATCTTCCATTTGCTTGCAGTTTTCCACTTATTTTATGCCAACTGAGGTAACACCTAACAGTACCATTCCTGAGGTAGGTATCTTTTTTTCTTGTAAACCTTTAAGGGACCGCAATATCTAATCCCCCTGTGGACATCATCAGAGTGCTAGTAAACTCCTAAAGTTTGTAGCAGGCAGTGAGATCATCAGGGTTGGGGGCTTGTGAAAGGGATGATTTGTGACTCCTGTTGGGAAAGTCCAGATTAAGACTCCTGTGTTAGTGAGTGTTCATATACAGCCCTCTGCCAATGCCTCTCCTGCAGTCCGCATTCTCCACACTCGATTCCTATTCCCTTCAGTTTGCTGTTAAGTTACTCGATTAGAAATCCATTTGCAATGTAACAGAAGCATTTTTATTGAACCTGCAAAACAATATTGAACAATGTTAACATCCTATTTTTAAACTGAGTATGGTGCCATCCAGATGCAGAAAGAGGTTGTTATTTGGATTAGTCTGAAGTCAGGGAGAAGGCAGGGGAGATTGGCAATTTATAGACAATCATAATTCAGAGAGGCATGAGCTTCATAAGCAACAGTTTACTTTACTTTGACTAAACAGATGCAGACTATCTCATTACTTTGGAAGCGGTAATACAGGACAGGAGGTAGCAATAATATACTCTGTTAGTCTAGCTGTGTATTCATGTTAGTAAAAGAATAAGAAAATCAGTTCCCTTCTTCCTTGCAGGTGTAGGGGGCCTGAGATTTTTCTTTTTGGCTACAGTGCTCAAATCCTGTGGATGGAAGATGATGACATTTTTAGAATAACTGAGTCTCATCTCTTGCATGCATTAATTTTTGCCCTTGTAGAAGGGGAATGGTCAAGGCGAAACAATATATTGTGCTACAGTATTTGATGCATTAATTAATCTAGACTCCATACATATAACATCTCTGCTAATATTGAGTGAGATTCAATAACCCCCTCCAACCTCTCTGTGCTGTTACTGATGAAGTAAAATGTTGCTTATGACAACTTATACTGCTCTGAATTAAGGTGCCACTCTGCCCTGCCTTCATCCTTTTTTTAGATGGTAATACTTAGTTAATATAAAGAATACCATCAACATGCAAACTCACAGATACAACTTTTTCATTGAATTCTTGCAATGGACTATATGTTCTTCTGTACCCATTGCAGTCTTCTCTGTCTCCCCACTTTTCTCTGTTGTCCTTCATTCCACTTCAGTTCCTCTCAGTTACTCTTCAGACAGCACTCCAAGCCCCTTATCCTTTCTAATTCCTGTATTATTTTCTAGTCATAGAGACCAGGATTGACCATTTTTATGAAAGTAGTTTGTTTTCAATCCTCTTGGAAATAATGTCATCTTTAATACAGTTAGCTTCCCTTCTATAGGCAAAGATGAAAGGGAGAATGGTAGCCATCTTGATTTAGTTCAGTCTTTCACTTGTGGCATTTTGTATGCAATAGAAAATAGCAGCAATAAAGGAGAAATCATAAATTTTGAGGCAGGGAGTCAAGGTATATATAAAGGAATGACAATTAAAGGAAAATTAAAGATTTTGACTCTGTGTGTGCGTGTATGTAGACCTTTTTTTCTTTATATGAGTGATTACTTTTCCTCACTTTCCCAGGATATTTAGCATCATGTTAACTCCCTTTGCCTAGAATTTAAGCTTCAGGAGCAACCTTGGAGTTGTTACTTCAACTTAATATCCATGTAAGATCTAATAAACCACCTCAAAAAAATACTGAGGACTTGACAAAACATTTTAATTATTTGGTTCAGTGTAGTTACAATAGATCTTGTTTACTACAGAATGCTAATCTTTTTTATAAAACTACCTACATACCATTATAGTCTATCTACCATGTACCATATTTTGAGGACAGTTCCTTCATATAAACTCAATGGTAGTGAGCCATGTTTGTCTGAAGCCAGACAAATGGAAGGGCAGGGTTGCACCTTAGAGACTAACTGGTTCAGAGATACATGAGCTTTTATAGGGTGTGTACAGATGTTAAGGCATACAGACATTTACACAAAAGTGCCATTGTTAGAGCAGCTGTTGGAAGAGGGAATGGGGCGTTTGCCTGTTGGTTGGAGGGGACTCAGAACCTGCCTACACTGGCCCTGGGCAGGTGCTCCATCAGCCTCCCAGGGGAGATCACCCCTCTCCCCAGCCCCCCCCAGCTGGCAACTGGCAACAGCAGCTGGGGGCTTGGAGTGCAGTCCCCCCCAACTACCCCTGCTGGGGTCTTGGGAGGAGCTGGGTTGGGCCCACATGGTGGGGAGGGCTCCCCTCCCCGATCCCACAGGGGGCTGCCTTACCTGGAGCACAGATGGCTGCTGCACCTGGAGCTGGGGGGTAGGGAGGGAGAACAGAGCCCCCCTCACCTCATGGGCCCAGCCCAACACCCCCTGAAACCCCAGCTGGGGTAGCCAGTCTAGGCCCATGCAGTGGGGAGGCTCCATTTCCCCACCCCTGCCCTAGCCTCTTGACAGCACACAGAGGCCGGCTTGACTTTTTGCCACAGCCAGAGCTGGGGGGGGAGGGAGGGGTGCAGAGCACCCCCTGCTGTGCAGGTATATCCCAGCTACCCCCAAAAACCTAGCAGGGATAAATGGGGGGGCACGGGGTATGGGTGGGCTTCCTTCCCCACCCCACAGCCCAGTTGCACAGGGAGAAAACAGAGCTTTTTCTGTCTCCCCCACAAGCACCAACCTAGCCCCGCAAAGGTCCCTAGGATTTGAGCAGAATCGCCCAAAATTAAACCTTAGTGTGAACCTGTACACAGGTTTGCTAAGGCACTCTGCCATAGAGTGCCTTCATCTGATACTGCATCAGACACAGATTCATTTCTCACATGATCTGCCATTTTTAAATGCTATGCAGCCTGAGCACTTGTTATATTATGGCTACAGAGCACTTTTGGCTGCCTCATCATGCGAAAAGTGTAACTTCTGTACACACACATTGGTAACAACCTATTTGGTCAGATGCCACAAATGGACTGCCTATAAACTTGTTTGAAGTCTTCTTTGCTTCTAGGTTCTACAGCTTGTTCAGAATTATACAATGTCACACCCACTGATGTTGACGCTACAATCTACTGCAGCACCTATGATCAGCTTGCAAACAAGCAGTTTGACTACAGAGATCACTGGCTACTTAGAGATGTTTTCTGTCCTGCCAAACTCAAGCCTCCAATTCATCTTTGCAGGGAATCTAGTAAGTACTCTGGACCAAAAAACTCTCTTCTGTGCAGGGGCTAAAAGATGCTTGCTCTTCCATACTGCTATCTGCCAAATTTTTTGTGAATCTGAGAGGTCAGTGTGACCTAGAACAGAGGCACCAGTGCTGCTCACAGATACCCACAGAAGACTTCCACTATGTTTGATAGGAATTGGATTTTCATGTCTGTGAAATAATTTGATGTATAGGTTATGAGGAATTTACCTTTAGAATCCCATTTTTTGAGGGGGTGAGGGTGTCTTTCCAAGAGAAAGAAAGTGAAATATATTACAGCCTCCATTTTCTGAAGCTAATTTTTTCTTAACCTGCTTGTTATAAAATAGTGGGCCATATCTCCAGATACCTTTTCATTACACTAAAAGTGCCTTTGGCCACTGGAAACCTCAATTATCCAAGCCTTTTAAAATGTTGCCTATGACACTGATAATGGAGGCAGTATTTTATATTACCAGGCACAAACCCCATATTGGATAGAAAGTGAACAGCTCACAAAAAATACTTCAATATCTACATAAATAAAAATGTTGGGTGCTTTCATTTTGGATCATAAAAGGAAATCATATTTGTGCCTGTATTCTAGATAGGATTGCATGCTGTATATATGATAACAAGATTTTCTCTTCTTCAGACAGTGAATACCAGTGCCAATATGACTATATCTAAACAGAAGTTGATTATCTCATTACTTCTCAAGAGGTAACACAGGATAGTTTTGTCCAAGTCCATAAAATAAAGGTCAGGAAGTAACATTATTAAAAGGACTCTATCGTGCATTCACATCAATATGAGAAGAAGATAATCAGTTACCTTCCTTCTTGCAGAGGTGGAGGCCCTGAGATTAGTTTATTTGCTACATTACCCAGATCCTGTGGATGGAAGATGATGATATTTTTAGAGCAACTGAGGGTGCTGTCTTCCATGATTCTTTGTCCTTCTATAGGGGAAATGTTCAAAGAGAAACAACATAGTATCCACAGTATTAATTGTATTAATTAATCTAAACACTACATGTTATATCTGGGCTAATACTAGGGAGCGAAATTCCATGACCCCCCCAACTTCTGTGTGGTTATTGTTACCATATAGTTGGCACATCTACACATTCATTAATGTGCCATAATTATGGTGCATTAAGTTAGTACCTGTAATACTAATACCTGTAATAACAGGTACTAACTTAATGCACCATGATCGGCACTACTGCACGGTAGCACTAGCGCACTTTTTATGTGATGCTAATGTGCAGTAGATTAATTCTACTGCGCATTAGCACATTAGCATGGCTTTCATCGTGACACGCTAATGTACAGAATTAGTCTACTGTGCTTCAAGCATCTCATGTAGACACGCCCACAGAGTCATAAAATTCTCCCCTGTGCAAACATTCATTGGGCCACTACACATAATTCTGCATGGATCCTTGCAAGCTTTACTGTGATAGGCAGGGACAAATGGGACAACGTGGCACATGCCACTACAATCAACATGGTTAGTGCAACAAGCTACAGACAGCTGTAGGGAGACTTCTGTAACTTGAAGCAGCACTCAAGGCTACTTAGGTTACATGTGAGTCTATTTCATATTGTGCAATAACCCAGGAATAAGATGGTGCCCAGATTGTTTAAAGTCATTTCTTTATCATGTCTTGTGATTTCTGTGCTTGCTCTCCTGGAAGTGATCAATGTTTCTAGGGCAGTGGTTTACTGGGACCTAACAACCCAGTTGATTCTAGAGATCAGGGCAGCTTCTACAGAACCTAAATTTTCATGCATTCAAGACAATAGCCAAATTTATTAAGCTTTGTTATTTCAAGAAGTAGGTAAAGACCAGAACCACAGGGGACCTGCTCAGCACATTGTACAGTTGGTTCCCAAGTACTATGAAACAACTGGAGTTTTTGGTAGAACTTTATGATTTGGGGCTCACAAGAAGATTCTTCAAGAGGATTGTTACAAGAGATTAAGGTTATGAATGTCCAGAGCATCCTGGGAAGGCACTCATAAGTAGTCTTGTGGAGTAGTAAATAAATGCCTTACAACAAGAGTATCATGGGAGGTCATGAATGCTTCAGAATACTGATTTAGGAATCGGGAGTTAGTGGCCTAAGAACCTGTGAGAGAGCTAATGTAGGAAGGAGATTTCAGTGACTGGGGCTCGTTGAGAAGTTATCCAAACAGAACTGAACTTCTGAAGAACTGGCGGGTCAGCCCTCACCAGCTGTCGGTTCAGCCATCACATGGAGTAACAGCCCCAGAGTGAAATTTTTCCTCCCAGCTCACATAGCCAAGATGCCTGAATAGCTATTACATTTCCAGGGATTCTGAAATTGACTTTTTATTGTATGATTTTGAATGCAGAGTTGTTGAGAGGCAGGGGGTGTCTGGTGAAGTTGAGTGTATCAATTGGTGGGATTTATACAATGTAATTTGGAGGGAGAAGCACTCTCATGTCCCCAGAAAAGCTTTTCCCAGGCCACACGCCTGTGCACATTCCAAGCTGTGCCCCAGGAAAACCATTTCTGTTCTTTACTGTGAGGGGCAGCATGGACTTCACCGGGCTTATGCCAATAAAAGCATCTCTTCAAGGGAATATCACATAGCCTATAGCTCTGAAAATAACTGTACATAGGTAAAACAATGTACCTTTATCCTTTATAATGATTCCCTTTATTATATTCTGTTCAGATTTCACTTCTCCCTGACAAGTTCTGGGGTTGACTTTTCTGAGGTAAGCTGATGGGCTTCTGTGCAAAGGAAACTTAAGTTCTTAAAACCAAGAATTTCAGAAAGAGGCAGGTTCAGATGAAAGGAAACTGAAATCTCTCCATCCATTTCTGTCTCAGCCTACTTATTCCTGGGATGGCTTTATCTCTCCTGATTTCACACAGACAATATTTTATCTGTTGTATAATCATATAGGCTTTACTCTTCCCTTTCTCTCAGGTAATATTGTAATTCTCAAAATAGAGAGAGAGAAATGTTTTCTAAGCTAACCTCCTCTGAAGGATTACATGATGTTGTACAATCACTACCAGATAATCTAAAACTGGATTGTAACAGAGCGGTAACAGAAGCATCACATTTGCTGGGCAAACCACAGAAGAAAATACAGGTAGTAGGGTAGGCTGAGGTTCAGCACAAAGTCTCATTGTCAAGCTGAAGAGAGGAAGGGGAAAGAATGATAGTCACAAAAAGCATGAAACAGATTTAGTAGCAGAGAAAGGAGAATCCTTACCTCCTCCTTCTGGACCCCTTCCCCCATGGTTAGTTTAATTCTGAGGACATTCATTTAGCACTGGGAAGCTGAACTGTGCGGAATGATGACTTGTCAAATCGTATAGGGTAGTTACAGGTAAAATATTTTAAGTAAATAAAAATGCTGATATTAAATTAATTGAGTGAAACTGCGACAAAGATCAACATCCCATTGCTTTGTTTGGCTTCAGCCGAGTACCTCAAAATGCAAAGATCATTTTAACATGTGGTTTTCTCTTACCAAATTTGACCTAAACGCTCCAACCAAGATTTGAGTTGGCAATTTCATAGATTGTAAGAAGTGATCATCAGATCCATGTTCTCTCCCATGACAGATCTCACTTTTGGAGAATTTCCTATCTTGTGTATTATGGAATGGAGCAATCCCAGCAATCAATGGTAAGGATTGTTCCTTTACTGACCATGATCTTCAGTATTCCCAGGGACTGCATGGCAATAAAATTTAGTATGTGATTTTATTTTTTCACTGTTAGGTCACTGTCTCACATCACCTCCTTCTTGTGCTCTCTGTGCTCCCTGTGGTGGTATCCAGGCAGTGTAGAGAAGGGTAACAGTCTGGATGAGATGCATAATAGGGGAAAGGTGAAAAGAGACAAAGGGTGAGGGGAATAGGAGTGGATATGAGTGGGTAGTGGAGGAAAAGAACAGGAGCAAAAAGAAGGGAGGATGTAGGAACAGTGGCATAGAAAGAGAGGATGGCAGAAGCCAGGGGACCTGGTGGAGTGGAACAAAGCAGGTGAGAAGGAGCTGGAGCACTGGCTAAAAATGGTAAAGCAGGAATCAGGGAGCTGAAGGGGTGATATGAGTTATGGAATTGAGTTAGAGGGAATATAAGGCAAAACAGTACAAGAGTGAGGATTGGTGGGTGGGTAGATAAAAAGAGGGAGATGATGGGAGAGATGAAGTCAGAAAGCACAGTAAAGGGGGACTGGATGGATGGTTAGGAGAAGAAAGGGACAAAAAGAGGCTTATTGGGAAGGAAGGGCAGAAGGGTCTATGACCACTAAGCACACTTCCCTCCAGCACCTGGAAATGATCCCCTTCACTGTCTGTGCCTAGTCTCCCCCTAGTGCCTAGTCCATATAGAGTAGTGGTCACCAACCAGTTGATCTCCATCAACTGGTCCATTAGGGAGCCCCTAACAGTCTCATTCTGGGGTGGCTAGCTGGTGGGGCTAGCCCCCTTAGACTAAGATCAACTGTCAGGGGCTCCATGATCGGGAGCAGCAGGATGCACAAAGGGAGCAGCCGAGACACAGCCCAGGAATGGCAGGACACACATGGCTCCCTGCCACAGGGGCCGGGCCGGGTGAGTGGAATGATCCCCCTTTGCACCCCCTGCCACCGGGTGAGTGCGGCCCTGGCCAGGCAAGGCCAGGGGAGGGTCGGAGCCCAGGCAGCTTGTCCAGGCACACGGGGGGGCTCCTGCCACTGCATGCACCTCGATGGAAGCCCAGGGGGCATGTGCCCCACTGATCTGTGCGTGGGGCGAGGCATATGCCACTGCACACTGGGCTTTGCACCCCGAGCTGCAGCGGGGCTCGGGACACAAAGTGCAGTGGCAGCCGCCTCGCCCCACGCCCAGATCGGGGGGGACACGTGCCCCCTGCACCTCTATCGGGCTGCATGCAGCCGTGGAAGCCCCAACATGCGCCTGGACGAGCCACCCAGGCTCCGACCCTACCCCAGCCAAGGCCCCACTCACCTCTGCCCCCACCCCCTGACTGACCTGCTGGGCAGGGGGGCAAGGTGGGTGGCGGGGGGGATGCAGTAGATCCTGGATTGCCCTTTACTTCAAAAAGTGATCTTTACCTTAAAAAGATTGGAAACCACTGATATAGAGGCTGACACCCCCAAACTGTTCCCGTTTACAGCTCAGGCTGTAGGGGTTTGTGCTTTGGAGCCTGAGTGAGGGTCAAGATATTTCCACATGATAGAATTTTGGGGAGGGTTTCCATCTGTGTTTTAAAGTATTTAGCTTTTCCCAAATATAACTTTATTACTTTAAATGAAGGTTGCAGTTATAAGGGCAAGCATTCACAAGTTAGGAAATGCCAGACTTAATGTTGCCTGTCCAATATGAGGTCACCCCCCTTGTGTGTATGCATTATGACACCAGTCTTTCCATGATCACATACCTCTTCTTCTAGAGAGCTCTTTCTCTGTTTGTAAATCTGGGTAATATCTATTTCCCAGGGGACAGGTGGTGATTGATTAGTGTCTGTAAAGCATATTAACTGTCTTAAAAAAAAAAAGAAGATGCTGTACAAGAGCCACTACTTGTTGTTCACATATAAATGCATGTATTCTTATCTTTTATAAGATAAACTGAGGAAAGGATTCCCTCTTCCTAATCAGGCTCAAACTAAGTTCATTCAACCAGTTCTTGAATTTAATCAGGTGAGAATCTGAATCTTTATTTCATAGATTTCATAGACATATGGGCTGGAAGGGACCCTGGAAGATCATCAAGTCCAGCTCCCTGCCCCATGGGCAGGAAGTCAGCAGGGATCATAGGATCCCAGCAAGATAAGCATCCAAATGTGTCTTGAAGGCGTTCAAAGTGGGTGCTTGAACCGCCTTCGGCGGCAGTCTATTCCAAACCTTGGGGGCTCGGACAGCAAAGAAGTTCTTCCTTATGTCCAGCTTGAATCAGTCGCAGCGGAGTTTGTGACCACTCAATCTTGTCATCCTTTGGGGCACTCTGGTAAACAGGCATTCCCCCAGATCCTGATGAGCACCCCTGATAAACTTATAGGTGGCCACCAGATCACCCCTGATCCTGTGCTTTTCAGGGGTGAAAGGGAGATCTTTTATTGGCAGGATTATTTGCTTCTAACAGGAAATGTATAGGTAGCAGACTGTGTCCTTCATTTGTTGTTGAATAAAACTGAACGCCAGGTGCAAGCTTAGGAAGAAACCTCTTCTCCATTGAGAAAAAAAAATCTGTGCTAAAGACCTGACACTAGCAGCGTGTCACAATGAAAGCATATACTGCCCATTCATGCCAACACCATGTATGTCAAACAACAGAAATTGTCAGATAGCTGTTTTGGGGCAGGCATCCAACACCACTAATCAGCATGTATGGGACAAATTACTGACCCTGGCTGCACATGAGGGAGTGGCAAGTAACCATATTTTGGTTCTCAGTACATGCAGAGAAGGAACAAATGGATGGGTGTGTTTTCACAGCAACTTTCCCTAGCACTATCTGATATAGTACAGACATATGCCCTGTGGCCAACTGCATTCAGTCAGGTGAATTCAGCTCTGAGATAAGTGTAACCTCCTAAAAGTCTATGGAGAAATACTCTTCTATGCCACAATATGTCTGAATTTTTTACACTTAACTTAAATTCTGGTGTCAGTTAAATGTATGAGATGCTAGTAAATTAGTACAATATTATATTTGTAACCAAGATCAGTATTTGGTCTTCAACATGTAATATAGATAGCTAGACCATGAAATAACCAGTGCCCTCAGCATGGACACAAATGCCTGGATTATGTGAAAATCAGATGTTGATCTATTAAATTCATTGATTTCAAAATGCTTACCCACTATTAAAGTTTTATGCTAGAGCGCAAGTGTGATGATGCTGAGATATATCTTGGTTTTTTATATACATCTTTTGGAGATGGAGAGTGTTAAATAAATTTAGTTCTATTTATTTTTTAATTTTCCAAAAGAATTAATTAATCAATCAGTTCCAATTTCCTCTCAACATTTACTCATATTATACTTTCATATACTTTGGGCAGCTAGCACGTGATACAACTCACAAAGAGAAATAGTTCATAAGTCTCTGTGTGCCAGTCCACTGATATAACTTAGAGCAGCCCAAAGCAACTCTAACATTTGCTGAATGCCAACTGCCCCAAAGCGCTCAGTACCACAACCAGGACACACAGAAACTTCATCTCTTCCACTTTCCACACAGCTGTAACCTGTGTAGTGGTGGTCAGCAGTGGGGAGTAGTGTAGGAGCCATGATCCCAGCTCCACACTTTTAAAGGATTTGCTGATCCTTCCACATCCAGCTACATCAGCTTTAGATCTAGCATGCAAGTCAGTTTATATATACCACTGTCCCTTTGATATGTACGGGCACCTGTACACACCACAGGTTTTAATCCTCATTAAATTAAATAGGTTTATAAAATTTAAATTTTTTATTTTGGAGCATCGCATCTGTGTTTATACGTACTAGGTTTTCACATGAATTCAGCCTTGGAGCACTGAACCTGTGTTTACACACACTAAGTTTTCAAACAAATTAAGCTGGCTCCCTGCCTGGCACCACCGAAGAGCAAGATGGTCCAGCACTGCCACCCCCAGCCTGCCCCCAATGCAGATGTGGAAGCAGGAAGGTGGCAAACCACACAAGGGGAAAAAAAAAGGAGGAAGCAATTCAAAAGTGAAAGCAATTCCAAGGGGTGAACTACAAAAAAGTTGTAGTGCCGTGTGGTGGACAAAGAGGCTCATTACATGCCTTTGAGTGCCTTTGTGTTTGCACACAATGAATCCATGAACACAACGCTTTAATTTCCAGCAAGCCAAACTAAACTACATCCGAGGAGGTTTAGTTTAACGGAGAAGAAAGACTTTTAAAGTGTTGGGAAATCCCACTCGTGCAAACAGACATATAGTTGCAGTGCATGAAAGGGCAAAAATTGTAGCATATACATGAGCCCTAAAAGGCTGCTCTACTAAGTCTTAATAACAGAATAGATTCTATCATACAAACCCTGGACCAAAACTTGACCACCCCCCACCCCTCGCAACAACTTTAAGCGGCTTTGGTGGCATTAAAGGAACATAAAATGGCTACCTCAGGCCTTGGGAGGCATACCCCAGTATAGGGTGGCACAGGCCCAATGTACCCAGCTATGTACCACTCTTTACTTCCTCAAAGGCTGAGCCAGGGGCAGGAACAGCCAGAGCGCTCTGTACTCTGACTGTTCTGTGCTGTACATCAGCTACAAGCCAGTTGAGGTAAGGCTACCCTAAGATTCACAGCAGCCACTAGGGCTGTCCTAACTTATACCAGAGCCTATCCCAAACACAAAGCAGCCCAGAATCTGAGAGGCACAAATATGGCATGCCAGTCATCTTGGTGTCTTTTGCACTTCAGCTGAACCTCGAGAGGCCCAGCACAAAATCAAGCCTCTCATTGCCAACACAGGCAAAACTAAGAAAAGTCAGTGCCTATAATCTGTAATAGAAGGTCATTCTGGTGAACATTTTTCTCTCCTCAGGGTTATTTGCTGATTTCCACTGATATTCACTACACTCTCTAAGGAAGGAGAGATTGTTTGACTGATCAGGATGTTCAAGGCTAACAGCAACCAATCAAATGCTGAACAGTGTCCCTATACTTTAAACCTTCTAGCTGAGTACTGGAGATGAGTGAAGTCTTCCTCACGCTGCTCTGATTCAGGAAGAAAGTAGGAAGAACGTATGGTGCAAAATTACAAATGCAGTTCTTGAGTCACCCTTCCGAATGGTCTATATCCAGTATAAACTTTTTCTGCTTCTTACCTGATGTATCTGTTGTTTTTTAATATAAGGAGGGGTTTTAACAGTCCTGTCATGCTTACTATGAAGATAGTCCTCTCAGGATTCTTCTTAGGGGCATTTCAGGACATGGGGCATTTTAATATGCTTTCAGTTTTAGGACCAGAGTCTTTAGCCATGTTGAAACTGGAGGAGATATGGTGAGAGTGTGGTAAAAATATGTTATAATCTAGTCATTATGATTTTGCAATAACATTTGTATAGCAGCTGTGTGGTAAAAATGTCTCATCTCACTACACAAAGGCTTCACAGCTGAGAACTGTTTGGCTTCACTACACAATTGCTTCTGCTAAGGCATATAGGCCAATGATAGATTTACGAGTAGCACTAGACTTCTGCAGACATAGCCAAGAACAGATGCAATAAATAACTCCTTACGAGAGATAAGAGAAGAGGGACAGGAAAAGATGCTGATGTAAAGAACTCAGACCCTGACCAAAGAATAACCCAGATGGGCTTAAAGACGGCCCCAGGGAGGAGATTTAAGATGTAAATGAGACATGTATGTAAACCGTCATAGAACATGTAACTGCTAGACAT